AAATGCTGGCAGACACGTCTGTCTCTGCCAAGCATGAGCTAAGAATGATATATATGAATATTAATAGTATGAATATGAATAAATTCGGAACATTATATTACTGAGCGTGGTTTCCTTTCCAAATATACCTAGAACATTTTATTTTAAACAAAGCTTTATCAAACGTAATAGAATAATTGTTTCATTTAATTCATTCCTTGAACCGCTAAGGACTTACCTTTGTTAATTGTATATTCTTTTCTCGCCAATAGTGGATCAAGTATCCGAAGCACATCCCGATAAAGAAAGGTGAAGATCTTGTGAATGTATTGTAGTAATAGTATCTAGCGTATTTTAGGACGACTTCTATGGCCAATCTGAATTAGAAAAGTATGATATAAATCTATGCAGCAGCAGTGCTATCACCTAAGCTATCTCATTAAGAAAAACTTACCTACCATATCTCTTTTGCAATCTCACCAAAAACCACCCCAATGAATCTTCAAAGCATGTACATGTTTAGTTATCCAATTACAAAAATAGTTAAGAATGGCATATCTTTGTACATGTCTATCAGGCACAACAAAACTTCGTTTCCTTCACTGTATAGTATGGCGATATAGCAAGACAAAATGGCTGCGCAAACCAGAGAACCGAAACGATACGACTGTTCTCCGCGTTTCTTGCGCGTCGACAGGACCGCAGGAGGCGGCAGATCGGGTCGCTCAAAGTCGCCCTGAATCAGAACCCTAACCTACTAACTTTCATTGCACCTCCCTAAGTAAGAGTAAGGGTCCCTTGACAATGTGTAGTATAGACTTTTATGGCCTATTCGTGCTCAACGGCGGGATGTTATGGGTATAGGGTAAGTTTGTGCAGTGGGAAAGAAGAAAAAAATATTATTCATGAATCGAAACTGCAAACGTAGTAAAAGTTACGATATACTTTTTTTCATATATGTGTAAGTGATTTATTCAATAAAAATACAATACTTACGCGGGTTGTACAAAGGAACCAATGAAATCATTCAGAAAGACGTAAATTGATGTCGCAGTGACAGCAACTAATATTGCAATAATCAATGCCGACCAAGCGCGATTTTTTTTGCCTGACAATACCCAGAATAAAACCAGTGGAGACAGAATGTATAGTTGCATGTCAATTGCTAAGTACCAGGTGTGACCCAAACACTGAAAGTAAACGTAATCGAATTCTTAGGTTTTCACGATTGTTACACATTGGAAATGAATTAATTTTCAAGTCGCCAATATTTGTTTTTTGAAATAAACCCACGAAAAAGTAGGTTCTTTTCCAAAGTAAACATTACCTTTACAATGGAACAAATGCTTAACCAATTAAAAGAACTATTTTAAAATTCTTGAATATTGATGAATTAACATTACACGTACAGAAAATCACAGGTGAGTTCGTAAAATTATTAAATTTAACAATAAACTAACAAAATAGAATGACACAATAATACGCACCATTGGATGAATATAGTTTTGCACATAAAGTAGTGTTAACCACCAGTTTGTTCTACAGTCGTTTGTTTGCAAAGCTGTTATAAGCCATCCTGGCCCGTCAAGAATATAATGTAATACGCCAACTTGCAGCAATATGGTAGCGGCTAGTAGAGGAAACATTCGTAGAATTCGATTGAGGTAAAACAGGTGCAGATTCTTTAACAGTTTCACTGTAAGATAAACAAATACTGCCATTAGATACATAAAAGAATTTAAATATAATCTATATCCTCGATAGAGTTACAAGAATTGGAGAGGATGTGGGTTATATTTTACTGTATCTAATGGAGTAATAAATGTTTTTGACGTAACTCCGCTTATGCCATTCGTCCATGTGGGCTGCGATTTATTTAAAACATAATGCAAAACAGTATGAAATATTATTGTTAAATTTTGCAGGTAAATAATACCTTTTTCATTTACGAAACAAAGTGTAAGCCAACATGACGGTCATGATTTCCTCAAAAACGTGTGTCACATCGATGCTTCAAATTTTAAAATACAAGCTGGAATCTGGCGCTTTGCGTCTTGCTCTATAGCGAATAATTAGTGAGATATAATAAATTAAAGTGTATCATATTTATAAAATAATACTCGTTGAGACCAACATTTATAAGGCCTTGTGTAATCATATAAACCTCAGATACAAGAACCTTAAATAGATACTTACTACTGTTAACTTTGCCAACAGTAGTGTAGACAACCAGCAAACCGCTTAGCACGAAGAAAGTGTCCACACCAATATGGGCTGTAGTCAACCAAAAGGAATCATATGACGTAACCCACTACAATAAAGTAAGAATAAATTAATTAATGGTAAATTAAATAATTGTTGCAGTCAAGTACTGTATTCTGCAATAGCTAAGTTCTAAACTGTTTTTTTAAACAGGCAAATAGTGTAATGGGCCACTTGATAGTAAGTGGTTAGCGCCACCAATACACATAAATAAAAAAAATCGACATGAACGTAAATTACAAATATTAAACAAAGAGGGAGAAATGAAAAAAGATTCAAACATGAAAACATGTCAAAGGGGTCCATGACTCAGCATCTGAGGACTATGCAAATTACATAGCACTTGCCGTTATTCTGCCATGGCGCGTCATAAATCGGCACACCACAATCAAAATATTATTTAGGTTAAAAAATTTAAATTCAACAAACAATTAGGCACTGAATTAAAAAAAATATATTGATAATAATTAGACAAATAAAACAATCAGTTTGAGTAATAGATAAATTTAAATTGCGCAAAACCAAACGTATACGTATACAAATACACAGAAGAGATGTAACAAACACAAGCTTCTTCGTAAATATATACAATGTTACGAAATTCTTAACATCGCAAATATGTCGCCGGAGAAAGCATATAAAATCGTAAGTTTCCTATGTTATGCTATCTCCAATTTTTAAACCAACACGCAATAGAGTTTTACTTTGCTGTAGAAATAAAACAGCCGGTGGATTGGACTCAAGTGGATTCTGCATGTAATAATACATAAAACGAATCCTGTCACTAGTAAAATTTTCTTAATTTTTCCTTCTTTTTTAATAATTAGATAGGTATACTCAAACACATATTACTGAAAGAAAAAATATGCCAGTGGTAGAAAAATGGCGTATTTTTTTATCGAATACAACGCAATTTATTTTTCAAAAATAGAAAGAGAAATGAAGTACCCGAAGAAGGTCCAACTCATTTATAAGTGCTGGAACAGCACCAAATGAGTGTCCCACTACAATCCAAGCCATAGATATTGCTCTGATGCCATCGACACACTCTAAAGCACCGCGAGCCGGCTTATATGTGATCAGACGACGAGTATTTGTATATACTGAGAACGACTGATAAATTGTATTAAGAGATTTCGGATCTGAAATAAATAATTAATTATTTAATACATAAATATTAGTTTATTATGAAAACTAACGCGGTTATCACATATTATAGTATAAAAGTAAAGGGACAAAAGGAGCGCGAGAGAAGTATTTTGTGCCTCGCAAAATCCGAGAGGCTATTGAAATAAGTAGGTGACCAAATTTTAATAGAGATGAAGGAAGGAGCTCTCCACCGACCTGGAAGCCATGTCTTCGATGTTAGTAGTAACGACGTGGTGAGCTTTGTGTGCTGGACTGTTCTGCCGTCCTAATGGAAAGTGCAGTAACTAGCATTTTTAACGAAATTGAGTTAAATACATAATCGTTAAAACAAAAACAATATCTATATTTGGCTCTAACTCACGCATCAAAATTCCCAAGAGAACCCTGTAATACAGGAAGTGTCCACAGAAGGTTACATATATAAATATATATCAGTTGAGCCTAGTTAACTTATGATTTTGTGTGTGACTTAAAACTTATTTATTCTTGATAATGTTTTTAAATAGATAAGACCCGCAGGTACATTTTACACAGACTTTTGTTAAATTCTGATCCTTTTTTGAGCAGTACAATGCTAATACCAGATAGGAACTTCTGCTGCCGGAAGCATCATACGCAACATCAACTTAGGTATAATGAAGATGACGATTGGTCTTATGACGACCAATCCCATTAATATTATATTTTTTGCAATTAATTTTCAATACAACGAAAAATATGTGTTTTAAATACAATATAATGACTTTAAACTTCTTTTTATTACATGTCAAATCGATAAAAATCACATAATCATTTTGAGCAACTTTTGAGCTTCCTGTGTGTAATGCGTAATATTTATAAATACTTGTGAAAACGTGTTATTTATGACATATAAACTTAATCTCAAGTAAAATAATTAATCAGAAAAGACTGAATGTTATAGCACTTGTCATAGCATTAATAATAATAATATAGTTCTTTAATGAAGAAACGTGATCTCAAATTATAGTTCCTCAACTAAGTAATTGTTATAAGGAGACTGAACTTTAACTTACTTCAATATAAGGCAAGGTTTGATTTTTTTTAATATTGTTTATTGTCAATCGAAATGTGATTAAGGGTTCATACATCTGGGAATAATATATCTGGGATTTGAACAAATAAATAATACCGGAATTTTCTTTGTTTCGTTCTAATTTCATGAATGTACGAAATTAATATATCTATATAAAATACAATATTTTATCATCTCTTTATATTCTCAATCCAATTAACACTTTGCCGACTTGGGAACTAGAAATAGAAATCATTTATCCTTGAGTAAGCAGTTCTGTATACAAAACTGGGACTCAAACTTACCGTAGCCTATCATGTACGCTTGTAATACCAGTGGCATTACTCAGTTGTTGCTAACACTACAGAAGGGAAGGAAGCGAGAAAAGAGGAAAGAAAAAAGTGCAGGGGGGAAATTAGGCCGCCGATATTCTCAAAAACCTCAAGCAATGCAGCATGCTGCCACTTTACGTCGATGTTTAGTAAGAAAATACTAACAATATAAAACATTAGAAAATATGTAACATCAATATGAAGTGTATTTTTAACAAAAACTGCAGTAACTTAATAGATACTGCAGTTATTTATTATATATATTATTATTCATTTGTTTTTGAATATGTAGTTTCTAGATTAATTAGCAGTATGATATTTATCTAATAATAAGTGCAGTATCTAGGGTACTTACTGCCGTTATGGTTAGGAGGATCAGTTGTGTTACTAGAGCAGTTCTTAAACATAAGTATATTTTTGAAATATTGTCATACATAACCTTAACATACATATATAAATATGTCACCTTACAATTCTTAATTTTTTTACCTTTCTATTGATATATGTTATGTCACTGTAACTTGCGTAGTTTTGAAGCTACAGTAAATTTTAAATTATTTTCTTTAACCACGTGTTTGTCGAAAACAGGTTTGACTTAGTTTCTGCACTCTTAGTTAGGAGGGCAGGGTAGCGAAGAAGAGTTTCAGGACGCGCTGACGCAACGTATCAGCCCCCCGAGTTCCCTACTGCGGGCTGCGTCATCGGCGCGCGCGCAGAGCAGCGCGCAGTGCTAGACGTAACGCGGTCGCGAACGTTGCATTCAACCCCTGACTTAGACCATCGATTATGGTTGAAACTACTCAGACCGCTACCGACTAAAATACTACGCAAGTAAATCCCGTTACTTTTATAAAAAAAAAATTTTTTTTAATTTTTCATTTGAGCTTAGTTTTGCTTGTAGATGAAGGAGGGCAAAACATATTTTTTTATAATAATTACTATACAAATTATATCAGCGTACTTGTGTTGTAAAAGTAAGACTTGATATAATTTGTACAAGCGTAAATACCCAAAGTAATAGGGTTTTTCTACAATAAAAATGATAATGATTTCTAACAATAAAAATACCACGTACGTGATCTCCAATACTTTGAACAGATGAAATAATTTTGTTTGGCATGTCGTCTAGGACCTGAAGCCAAGAAGTCCAGGGAAATACAGAATAGAAAGAGTACTTTTGAGAGACTTTAACAAAAAAAAGATGTTTGTGGAAAGAGGTGTACATAGCAAAAACATGATTTATGATACACAGTAATTAAAACTGTTTATGAAAACATGGATTTTACAACATTGGAACACATCTAATTTGAAAATCGTAGATCAATATTTATCTCATACGTGGTTTAGTAAAGTAGAAATCATTATAAGACTTAAAGTTGTAATATTACAGTCACTAACTATACAGGGATTATAATAGGTTTTAAGTTAGAGACAGGAACTTTATTGGAAACATCATGTACCATTTATAATATTTCTAATTGTAAACAAATTTCAAAACCACGTGATTCTTCCAACCTTCCATTAGCTGGTTCGGTGGCTCAAAAAACGTTAATACTGACCATACCGTCTAAGACGTGAACATTAGCAATCCGAAAATAATGATGTATTTAATGATATACCTATAACGCTTACCTCGTTCACGAATGACAGTATTCCAAACATCGTAAATTGTACTAAGAATGGCCAGCAGAACTATTAAACTGAAGACCACACTGAAAACAAAACCATTTATTGGTAAATGAAGAACTTTATAAATATTCTTAAATCTTTTCCTCATACTGATTGAAAAACAAAAATTACTTACATAGCTACATAAACCCCTGGTGCCCAAGGTTTGTCATTTTTGAATCGGCATAATCGTTCCTGAAAATTGATCAACTCAGTTCCAATGAGATTGGATAACGCCTGTTTTGTGGAGCAAGGCTTTGGTAAACAAATAGATATTGTAAAGCGTAAATTTCCTAAATGAACGGCATCTGTCCTAAAAAGGATAAATATTTAGTAAATACATATTTACGCTTCCAACATATCGCAAACATATTGTTTTGTAAACTTCACCGCTTCTAATGTAGTCAATTGTTTATTATATTCATAGAGCAGTTAATTAACAAAAACAATGAGTTTAATTTCCTCAGTAACTACAAAAATGTTGACATAATTACTGTTTTATTAAAGTAATATCATATATAATAGAAGAAAATTTAAATATATTTTAAATTTGATTCTTACCTTAAAGTTTTTTTACTCTTTATGCCATTTATAACTTCGAAATTGTTTCGTAGTCTTTCATATGAATTTATTTCATCCTTTACAGTATCAACAGCTATTTTAACATTTCCCAATTCAGTCGCATCTCCAAAGTTTGCAAGATCTGATAATCCAATTTCTATTTGGCAATACTTCCCTTCAATAACCATGTCATCGATTTCTCTGTTAATACCAAGGCATTGGCGGTAATTTCCTAAATCTTTCAGATTTCCTTGCAGAATCCCTCTCGGTACCCTAGGGCCTGCCTCGAGAACTGTAAGTATGTTTTTTATATACACTTAGGTTTGTCTACAATTTCACCTGATGGAAAGTAAATATCAGTACCTCAACATATTATATATTGGGTGTTTTGCATTGTAGTTAATATTAGTTAATGATTCCAAATGTTTTTTTGCTTTGATAGTTACCGTAGTCGTAATCGTATTTACATGGTATTAAATTAAAGGATTATATTGTTTATGTTTTTATTTAAAAAGAGTCCCCCTAAACCCTTTCAGAAAAGGGAAGAAAGTTTATCTTTTGGATAGCTAAAGCATTCTTTCACGAGGTGTTTTACATATAAACCCCGGCGTTTCCACTTCAAGAATCATGGAGTTCAAGCACTGACCGAATTTGGTGTATTTGAGGCTTTTGCTGTATTAGATAAAACCTGTGCCGCCCGTGTGTCCGTAGAACTTGAAGGAAACTACAGTGTTCACAAAGGTTGCGTTCAATGCTAGTTCTCTGCCCCGTTTTCGTAGAAGATTATACCAGCAGGCTTTTGCGACAGATACTAATTACAATAGCTGAAGGTAGCACGGTATCGCAGTAAAAGTCCAGATGAGTGCTGAATGGTATAAATATTTATAAATAATAAATATTTCATCAGTCAGCATGCTGAAATTCCATGGTAATCTCCACGAGGGCTCCAAATTTGTGTATCTTTATATATTTTATTTCGTTTGGCCAATCGAAAGCAGACTGCAAGCATTAGGAGAAGACCGAAACAGTTCGCCGAAATTAGTAAAAGCGTTTCTTCTATCCGATACTCCAACTTGTAACTGATCACACTTTTCGAAGATAATTTATTATATTATTGTCGAACATCTCGAAACTTTAAAAATAAATATTTCGTTTATATTTACTCAAGTGGAATTATAAGAACTTGAATTTTTAGGAACTTAGAAGAGGTCAAAAATCATTTTGATGGTTATCTTACAGCAACTACGAGTACTAAACATCATTAACAATCGAAGCTGTCTTATACGATCAATGCATAGAATTTGTGTCATGGCTAATAAATAAACACCCAGTATAACATTGACTTGCTATTCACAAAATATAAATAAACAGTACTTACACATCATCATCAAAAGCGTATCATTCAAAATCAAATATTCTAGTTGTTTTGCACATAACACAGGATCTAAAATTTCCTCGTAAATATTTGGATCAAAAGGTGGATGTTTGGTGTCCCATTCAGTATCAATCATTCTATTATTTTGCTGACTATTTACTTTGTCAATTGACACTATTGTGCATAATACCACAAAAATTACTTTAATTGATATCATCTTTTTAAATATTACAAATAACAAACTAGTCACAAAAATAACAAAGCTGATATTAGTGATAATCACGGTGTCTTTTTTTATTAATAATGCTATTTGCAGTAAAGTTTAAATAGGGCTTCTATAATACGAATGACTTTCAATTTATAATCTTATCCACACCAATAATCAAAATTGTAAGAAATATTTATATCTTTATTACGTCCTTGTTGATCGTGCAATACAAGTCACATTTTTAATAATTTTGCTTTAATTTTTTTATAGTTAAAATACTTATAAGATTATCCTTAAGTACAAGCGTCTTTATGTATTTGTCGACGAGATATATACCTACAAACCATTAACATACATTTAACGGAACACAAGTAGAAATCCCAAAAGAATGCAGTGTTTTTTCAAACCACAGGCCGATTATTTTACTTTTTTAATAAAAAATAAATTTTTAAATTTTGGTTGGGTATAACCCTTGGGTGTCGCTATAGGGTGGGCTGCTTCAGACGGGAGTCCCTGCCGGTGGGCCGGCAGGTTTCTCAACCATCTTCAGCAGCTGGTGTCTAGTCCGGTGGGGCTTCCTCGGGCCCAAGTAGGTCCCTTGGAAGTAGTTTCTCGTCAGGGTGTTGGGCTCGGTGTGGTGCCAGTCCCTGTATATGGCTATACAGGGATTGTCCGGCGCGCCGGGACATGGTCTTGGCCAGGTGTTCAACGAAGCTGTCGAGGCTCTCCATGCTCAAGTCCCGTTGGATGACATCATTTCTCACGTATCGTGGGGCGTCTGTGATGCACCGCAAGGTCAGCGACTGTTGAGCTCTGAGTCGCTGCCTGTTGCACTCTCCTACCAGCGCGTACCATGCTGGGGCTGCATATGTTAGGCGGGATCTGATGCACGTCTTATACACTCCGAGTTTCACTCTTAGTGGGAGTCGGGACTTGAGAATCGGTCGCAGGAGTGCGCAAGCTGCGCGGGTGTTCTGCACGACGTTCTTGATGTGATGGGCCATAGATAGTCTTCTATCGATTGTCACCCCTAGGTATTTCACCGTGGGGGACCACTCGATAGGCTGGCCCATCAGTGTCAGCTTCGGTGGCATCTTCTTCGAGGTGCTCACGCTGATCGCCTGGGTTTTGGTGACGTTGACCGAGAGTCGCCAGTCATCCAGCCAGGTAGGAAGCATGTCCAGTTGGCGCTGCATCTTGAGCGCCGCGTGATACGCGGTGATGGAGAAAAAATAAATGTCAAATAAGTAACACTCGTCGAATATTACTTATTTAACAGTTATTTTTTCGGACGGACGTCAGACGGAGAATGAGAGTAGAACCCCAGTTCCGAATCCGAGAAATGACGGTCCGAAATGTCACAGGGATCATTTTGTCTCTAGGTCTACAAGCGATATTTGTATTTTCTCGACATCCTAAATGGGTCCGAGTTTTCTAGATTTGTCCAGTCTCGGACACTACTACCAGTACTAATGTACTAATGTGGTTACTAATTTGGGTACTAATTTGATGCTAAGAGATGTGTGTGTAATTGACAGAGTTAAACTCAGATTTATTCATCGAAATAATTATCCAGCCACTGTCGTGTTAAATCCTATGTCTAAGTGTGCTTTTATTTTTTCTGATTATAACTTACTATCTACTACTCTCACTAACTATCAATCTAATCTCACTAAAATGTGATTAATAGCATTGATAATGTATTACATTTATTATATATTATTCTACAAAAAAATATAACCGACGATCGTGAATGATAACATTGATGATGATAAATTCAAACGGGAAATACGCGTGAAGTGTATATTTGTATATCTATACGATAATCTGTGTATGATAAGTACATGCAGTAGCCTTTATCCTATATCTCTCGTATTTTAAGGTTTATTTTTGAGTAGGAGGATGGACCTAGGAGGTCCCATCTATCTCTGTACCAAAATACATCAAATTTGGTTCAGCGGTTTACACGTGAAAACGTAACAGAGTTATTTTTGCATTTATCATATTAGTTTCGGTAATGGTATTAAAAAATGAGAGAAGCACGTTTATATTTATATATATATATTTAAATTAGACAGAAATACTAACATTTGATACAAACATGTTAGTAGGAGTTCAATTGTTTCCAACTTTACATTACTAAATAGTTAAAAATATTATACAAATGAAATCTTTATTTCTGCAAATAGTGATAAACAATATTATTAATACAAATTTAGATGTATATTAACTAAATGACACCACACTCTTATATTTGAAGACAGTTTGTTAAAAATTTGCATTTCCTCAAAACTTATTAACCTTTTGCCGTAGTTAGTACAAAGTAACATTTTTATTTTTTATTTTTTAATAAACATGTTTGAATAAATGGTCCATGAAAAAGACTGAAAACGACACTGAAAATCATTACCGCTTATATAAATTGTCTGTTTTGAGCTTCAGAATTGAGTAACACAATGAATTGGTTCTTTTTATCAGTTGATTTTTATATATTCTGTATTCCAATTACAAGAAATCACAAAGAATTAAATTTAAAAAATGTATAAAAATAACTGGCGTTTTCGTTTACACTGACGTAGATAATAAATATGTATATGGGTTTCATAATCATTAGAATACATCATACTGCGTTTTAATTTTGCTTATTGGTTAATTCGTTTTTTGCTGACCAGTCATATGTTGAGTTTCGAGTGCTTTGTCGTCACCTCTTTGGTCTGAATCGGATTTTTTTATACCTGAAAAATAATAATACAATGTTTACAAAAAAATAACAGGTGGTTTGGAGAACAATTACCTATCTAAAATGTTTCATCAATGAATATTAAATGTACTCATTCAATAAAACCATATATTTAGTTTATTCGTATAAAAATCATTTAGAGACCCATATATGGAATCAGACGTGGCAAACATACACGAAAATAAGCATTTTTTTTCGAAAATTAAAAATCAATTTAACCATCGTACTATCGCCCATGGGAACTAACATACTATTATACCTAAATTGCTTTAAGTTATATTAATATTACCTATTTAATTTCAAAGCGACAGTGTTGTCCTGTCACTTTGAAATTAAATCGTATACGAATGACATGCAAATATAGCGAAATTTTGCTGATAAATTATTAATATATCGCAATTTTGAAACAAAATATAACATAGCGCAAATTTTTAGATAATGCTATGTTAGTTGTCAAGTGCGATATGTCATATAATATAAATGACAATATATCGCACATGAAAATTGTGGAATTGAGAAAATTCAAAAAGTACTGAATGGATCTGCTTGCTTAATTACAAATATGTGTATATGGTTTAAGACTTTTATTTCTCAAGACAGGTTACAAAAGTTTACTTAAAATGAGAAATAATAAATAATCAATTATATTAAAATAAGCTTACGAAAACGAACGACCATCGGAGTCGTTACATAAGAACCTATTCACATTTACACATTGCTGTTTCTAAATCTTAAAACGAATGTTTTGAAATAATTATTTTAGACCTAGTACTTATTTGGTCTGTGTGCTAGATGTACATCAAGATTATCCATTTATAAACGAGAATACATTATACTTTTCATCTCAATAGCTCGGAAAGGCTTTCTCTTTCATTAGAAATCTGTGCGCAAAAGCATTTTTTGCATGCTAGCGTGGAAGGTTTTTAAAATTCGTACTTGACGATGGACTGTGGCGCACTCAAGAACTTTCACAGCAACTATTTATGTTCCACACAAACTACACTACCAATAGTGATAGTCTCTATTCACAGTAACTGTGTGTTCCATACAAAACACTATCAATGGTGATAGGGTTTTGTTTTAATGTTGAATTTTGCCAAAAAGCATCAGCACCGCAGTACCGTGGACAGCGATAAACTTTATCTATTGGGAATGAGCTAGGCAAGCAGATAATATTGAGTGTTTACCAATAATATTTGTCCATAGTTGGGGAATTAACGTAAAGCCCCTGGCAAAGTCGCTATTATTTGCGCAATACATTTCATTTTTCTTTGACCTAGGGGCCTTCCGCTTACTATTTACAATTATTATATTACTAAAAAGAACAACAAATAAAGTAAAGAAAAACAGTCGAGTTGATGTTATGTTATGTACTTTTCCTTGAGGAAAGGCAAAGATCATTAAACCATGCACTCTACTTAAGTACATAGGTATCGTTCAGCCCAGTTTTTTATATTTTTTAATTTTGGTAACCTTAGTAATTGTTATAATCATACTATACATACTTACTCTGTTATAGTGTAGTCAGAACACTTTGTTGCTTATTCATCTATGATTTATGTTTTGTCTTATTTCAATAAGCGTCATCACATGCTTGCAAAACGGGATGGATAGTGTATAACTTTGTATACTATGTCGCGATTATCAAAGATTATAATGCACTAATTGATCAAAAACCACAACATTACTTACCGAATCAATGTGAATAATTTAAAACTTTAAATTTATGTTCACACAATTCTACACAGTTTGATTAATCATATAGCGAAATGTGATCAAGTAATAAATCACTAATTTTCAAATAATTAATAAATTAATTTTCAAAGAGGTCCGCATCTACGTCCACCACCTTAAATGTTTAACAACCAACTAAATTATGTGCAGCTTCTTCACCGCACATCAGTGAAACACAACGAGTTTAGGGAACGCCGCATCTAGTACGCTAATATGTAATATAAATCCGTTTGTGTATTTTTGTTGTTGAGATTAAATTGACAACTAATAAAAAAACGAAATAACTAATTTAGTTGTTTTAAAGCTGATTTGTTACAGTTCACCTATTTTTCTTTCATCTACCATTTTCCTCGCTATAGTGAGGTGAAAAGTTGTGTGTTTCGCTCGGCAACAAAGTTGTTTTGCGTCTTGTGACTTGAAACCCTCTCTACGCTCAGGATTCTATTTTTGAACCACTCACTTTGCTTGTGGTTCAACCTTAGTATCTATTTATTTATTTATTTATTTATTAAGTACTACCACATCATATATATTACAACATTTCAACATTCAACATACGGAATTACATCTGATACATATGACAATTACGGTGTACATAGCATTTATAATAGAAGGGTTACTAAAACAACTTATATTAAATTAATTTAAATTAACGTTATTAATACCTACTGCTCGAATTTGAATAATTTTGAAATTTTATTGACAAAAATATTTATCCCGTCGTGGTACACATCTAAGTCCTCAATTTTACTGTTAATCGTATTGTACTCGTTCAAAATCCTAGTCAAAGGGGATTGAAGGCCAAGATTGGTTTTACAAGGGGGGTATAGAAAATTTTTGTTATTGCGTTTCTAGGATATTTATACGGGACACTCAGAGAAATGCATTCGTGTAAATCACTACATTGGACCAGTCCATTAATGAGCCTGTGCAGGAAACACAAGTCCAACAAAAGCCTTCGATCACGCAAAGTAACCATGTTGAATTTTTGTATCCTTCACTTGCTCAGGCGCTCGCGTCAAACAACAACTTTGCAGCCTTGCATTACGAATAATTATTGGTTTCATACAGCATTTTGTTTAATTTTCAAATCGTATTTTCTAAATTCAACAACTTTGGGTAACGACAGTATTCGATTTCGTGAACAAATTACATTCATTGACATAGATTTAAAAACTTACCACTTCCTAAAAACTCTTTAAAAAGTGTGGCACACGGAGAATCAATCAGAATGGTAAAAATAAAGCTGACTATGAAATATATTACAAATTGACTGCAGAATATGTAAATCTGAAAAACAATTGGATATAAATGAACAAATTGTATTTTACTATTTTTTTATATTTCAAAAAGGAGGAGGTTCTCAATTCCAATGTGTTTTTTATGTGCAAGTTACGCGATTACTCCTGCATTTGTGAACCGATTTCGAAAATTCTTATTTGTTGGAAAGAAGGTACTTCAGTAGTAGTCCCATTCAAATTTGAAGAAAATATTCCACCTCTAAAGGTGGCAAATTAGGGGATGAATCCAGTTTATTTAATTTCACCCACTCACTGAAAAGATCACGGCAAATTTCAAATTAATAATAATAATAATAACGCACACACTCAACATAGCCCCGCACTAGGGAAACCCTGTGTCGCGGGTGCCATGGACACACATAGACAACCACAAATTACACCCAAACTCACGAGAGAAATAAATGTAGGCCATACAAATATTTCTCCCAGCCCGGGAATCGAACCTGGGACCTCTGCGTGGCAGTCCGGCATGGTAACCGTTCGGCCACAGAGGCAGTTAATTAAAAAAATTAAATCAAAAAAAAAATAAAATAAATAAATTACATTTCGCATGTAAATTCCGAGAAATTCATGATCCACGAGCCCGGATTCACAATCCACAGCCTCTGCTTGAGAGGCGGTAGGTCAAGTCAAACCATTGGCTACCACGGTTCTACGATAAATTAAGATTAAAAATGCCAAAAAGAAAACCTGTGCTGTAATTATTAGATTAAAAATTGCCCTTTTAATTATATTGATATACATAATATTACATTCACCTATTACATTGTAACTATTAAAAGACAGATCATAAAATAGTGAATACTTACAAAATTGAATGCAGAAAAGTAAATGTGTTGCGAAGCTGCTCCTATTGTAACGTATTGTATAGGCACATGCAACAAATATATCGCGTACGAAAGTCGAGACGGCAGTTTCCACATTCGTAGTGACAAGAACCAGTTGATTGGGCCTGTGTTTAACGGTATTAAAATTTAACTCAACAAAGAGATTGGTAACATTAGGTAAGTTATGAATAGATACGTACACACCAATTTTTTTAAAATACTTCATAGAATAATCATTAAATATAAAGATCGAAAAGTAAGAAAAAATCCTTCGATAGGGCTGGATTCGAACCAGTGCCTTGAGCATACCGTGTCTGATGCCCTCCCAACTGAGCTGCGGAAGAAACCAGCAGATCTTACGGTTTTTTTCTATGTGCTTGTTGCAGATCTTTGTTTGGATGGTAGGTGAGAAATCTATGAAAGCTTTTCTTCATTCAACCAGGCTGTAACTTTACAGCTACCAGCGGCTGACCGGAGATGTCGCTTTATAATTGTAATATTAAGTCTATTGAAAATCACGATGTTTCACTTCCGCGATATTCAATTGTTTTTAACTTCATAGAATTTAATGAATTAGTATAAAGTCATCTTCAGCAACATAGGTATAATATACAAAAATATTCTGCACATAAAAATCCATATTTGTAAATTTCTCACCTCCGTAACCCTCAGCGCATGCAAGTATAAGCCAGCCAAGCCCGAGAGCCCACACTGGTCGCATGAAGGAATTAGCAAAGTTCTCAAAAGTTTGGTTATCAAAGTCAGCATTTTTCAATGGCTCAGTCGCATAGAGAGCCAGCCACAGTACAGGTAAGTTGACGATCCATAATGTACAATTCAAGATCTATAAAACAATAATTTCTGTAATGCAATCTTCATCAAATTGTGTTCAATACCGAGAATATCTATCAACGCAACTGTTGGCATTTTGTACATTTTTTATGATACATAAGTGACGGGATAAAATAGTCGTGCGCTTGCATTGACTTACAAATAAATAGACGACGGGTCTAATACAAAAACCACGAAAAAAATGTCCCAAGTCAACCTATTCGAAATTTAAATTGTAATGTCATCGCAGTATCGCGCTGTCAGTAGAACAAATGAAGACTAAAGCGGAGTTTGGCGCTCTGTATACGATTTTAGCGCCTTACAAGTGCGGACACTTTTTAGCGCGGACCCGGCGTCCATATAATTGTAAGTCAATGTGCGCTTGCTATTAAGGGACATGCTTGTCATTCAGAGCTTTAAATCGTAAAGATCAGAGAAGAGAGAGAGAGTGTTTCTACACTGCCAAATAAATTGACAAATCTCAAGTACCTATAATCTGAAATAGATTTTTGAATTTCACGTTGTTTTACTACCAGGATTTTCATTTTTTTTTTTTGTGAAATAAGTTCACTAATCTGTTATAAATTGTTAATGCACATCACTAGCGACCGCTACTCTGTGGTTTGCGACGCCCGCGCCGGCTGCCTGACAGCCAATCTTTCTTCTCTCTCGGCAAATTTAATTATTATAAATTTTAGTTGAATACAAGTCAAATTTGTAGTCAGATTTTTCATCCGTCTTCATAAGAAACATAAATTATTAATACAAAAATCGATCACAAAGAAAAGTTCCTTCGACCCGACAGGACTCGAACTCGTATCCACGCTATACTATATGTCGCTTTGCCAACTGATCTACAGATCGAGTTAGTGGTTAGCGTACTTTTTCTGTGTGTCATAAAACTTCAATTGACTTTTTTTTACTTTCAACACCATGAGCAATTTTTTATGAGAGATTTACGAAATGATGTTATGTTATATCACATTTTCCTAAAAGTTTAGGATTAAAATGAGTGGTTATGAGACGAAACAAAATAATGTACACCTTTCATTTGTATCATAAACTGCCAACTGTTTTAAGCTTACCTTTGTTAATCGAATATTCTTTTCTCGCCAAAAGTGGATCAAATACCCGAAGCACATCCCGACAAAGAAAGGTGAGCATCTTGTTAACGTATTGTAATAATAATATCTCGTGTATCTTTGATTCTCTCCTGGTCTCACTCTGAAATCAGAAAAGTTTATATAATCTACAAAAATTGCCTAGCACGGAGAAACTTTTCTTCTAAGTTAAAGATCCTCGACTGGCTCCCATTGAAAGGGCTATCGTCACTATGTCTTTTTACATTATATGCAGTTATTTAATTATAACAACGTGAAGAACATCGTAGTGAATCAAACCTGAGCCCATACCGTCCCTTAGATCCGTGTCCAAGAGTGTGAAGTTTCGGGTTTATGATAACGAGGTCAGAAAAAAAAAATGAAAATACTATTTATCGGACTGTTAATATTGTAAAAACTACAGCACATATTTTTGAAATATAATTATGTTTTGAATAAAAATACAATACTTACACAGGTCGTATACCAGACGCAACAAAATTATTCAGGAATATGTAAATTGATGACGCAATGAGAGAAACTAATAATGCCACAATCAAAGCCGACCACGCGCTATTTCTTTTGCCTGATAATACCCAAAACAAAATCAGTGGAGACAGAATATGAAGTTGCATATCAATTGCTAAATACCAGGAATGAGATAAACACTGAAAATAAAAATAAAGTTACTTAATTTGGAACAAGTATTTAACAGATCATGAAGATATTGAATATTCATGAACTAACTTTGTTACTACATCAAGGTAATGTGTTAGAAATATCTTTGAATTTACAGAACAAACAAACCAACACGTAATATTTGGAACTATAGGTAAGTGGTGGCTGAACATTGATTATCCGTTATAAACTCAAGGAAACAGCAATCATATAACTACTTTATTGAACAATACTTAATAAAATATACGTACTACGGGTCGAAAAAAATTTTGTACGTGAAGTAATGATAACCACCAGGTCGTCCTACATTCATTTGTGACATCAGCTACTACAGTCCACATTGCACCATCGTAAATATAATGTGTTACACCAACTTGTAGCAACACAGTAGCGGCTAGTAGAGGAAACATTCGTAGAAATCGATTGAGGTAAAACAGATGCAGATTCTTTAATAGTTTCACTGTAAAATAAGTAATATGCAAAACATGAAGATAAGCTAATAAAAGAATATATTATATATTTCATGAAATAGGTATATATGTATATAATGTCGACATTTTCGAGTAATTATGAAAATATGTTATATAAATATGAAACAATCAGGATATAGTATAAAAATAAAATAAAATATCAAGAAAAAGTAGAAATAAATCATATTTAAAAGCTAATAAAAGGATAAGACACGTGCCTACTTATGTAAACATTACAGTCAAGACTCCTGAATAGATACTTACTATTACTAATTTTTCCAACAGTAGTGTAGACAACCAGCAAACCGCTTAATACGAAGAAAGTGTCCACGCCAATATGGGCTGTAGTCACCCACATGGAACTAAATGACATAATCCACTAAAATAAAGAGAAATTGAATTTAATATATAACACACGTGTTGTGATCAACGAAAGGAAATAAATAGAATGGATTTGGAAATTTCGATTTGAAAACCAAATTGCCAAGAATCCTAACTTTTTCCAGTAACTATTATGGGTAGTGACATATTATGCGGTAGAAAGCTGGCGTACTTTTATTCAAACATAGGGCTCTTTTATTGATTAAAGAAAGAGATGTACAATAGTAGATAGTTCGGACTATGTTAGTAATTTAATGATGTAGCGAGTAATTTAGTAACTAAAATTCTATCAACTCACAAAAAAGCGTTTGCACTATAGTCGTGTACAGTGTATTAGTGAGAAGTATATTGCGATATACAGAAGAAGTATATTGCGAGAACAAACAACGCAAAAAAATAAATAAGCTTGAGAAAGGTTAAAGAGGAAATTCGTGTGACAAAAAAAGAAACTATGAATACGAAAATGGATTCAGAGAAAAGATGAACAAGGAGCTACTAATTTTCTTCTTAAGGAAATAGCTTTAGAAGAGCCTAAATAATACTTTAGAACTTTGAGAATCTAAAAGAACTCAACTAAAATGAATAGGTTCGCACTTGTATAGTAGTTGAATCAAGTTGCACTGCAGAGTGGTAGGGGCGTTTCTCGCCACAAATTATAGAAAGATATGGATTGACTCGACTAAATTACTTACTAAAGTACTCGACTAAAAGTTAGTTGTTCAAACACGCAGCTTGATACCATTTCCACTAGTTTGTTATTCCGTGGTAATAATATACATCAAAGTACCCAAAAATAGTCCAGGTTATTTATAAGTGGTGGATAACCACTAAATGTGTGCCCAATCACAATCCAAGCCATGGATATTGCTCTGATACCGTCGATACACTCTAAAGCACCGCGAACTGGTTTATATGTGATGAGACGACGAGAATTTGTGTACATTGAGAACGATTGGCAAATTGTACTGAGAGATTTGGGATCTGAAATTTAAAAATCATAAAACTATTATTATTTTCTTAAATTTAAAAGCTAGATTTTTGTAGAATTTGCAGATCTAATAAATATTATCCCTTTCAAGGACAGTAACGGCGTTTACCGTAAAATATGGACAGTACGGGCTATCCTGTTTCGATATATGGATCTTGTAGTGCTTTCTTTATAGTTACCGCCTACTACTTCGCCATAGAGAAATATCAACAATGTACTGACAAAATTGAATGATTTATTTGAGATACATTTGTGGACGTTACACACACATATTTAATATGTGCACACCAAGACAGTACGGTGAATACCGACGTATTTGTATGAGGTGATGTAAGACCGTACATGTCACTGCGTCGCCAGCGACTGCCTTTTGTCGTTGTGTAGTTTATTTTCGCGCTGGAACTTTCTGAGAGTAAAAAAATTCCTCATTTTTTTCTCTAAAAATCATTGACTTACAATTATATGGACGTCGGGTCCGCGCTAAAAAGTGTCCGCACTTGTAAGGTGCTAAAATCGTATACAGAGCGCCAAACTCCGCTTTAGTCTTCATTTGTTCGACTGACAGCGCGATACTGCGATGACATTACAATTTAAATTTCGAATAGGTTGACTTGGGACATTTTTTTCGTGGTTTTTGTATTAGACCCGTCGTCCATTTATTTGTAAGTCAATGCTAAAAATGCATAGTTTTTTAGTAATTCAATAAACCAATAATGTGTACTACAGAAACCCTATTCTATAATAAATAATAATGAAACGTGTTTTCACACTTAAAATTAGGTTAGTTAGGTAAATATTTTCTGCCATCTAGGTGAAACGAATTACTTAATTTTTGTTTAAATTTGATGAATAACTAAACTATTAGTAATCAAAATCACCTCTCTTCCTACTTTCCTAATTGTGATTTAATTATTCAAACAATAAATAAATAACCTTCATCACTACTTAAATATAATCTAATTAGTAATTGTTTCGTTTGGAATTGTTAGTATATAATAACTTTTATTTGTCTTCTTATACTGCAAGGGTTACGCTATTTTAATGTATGGATTTAGACTTATTTTGCTGAAGTAAATTAATTAAAATCACTGCACTACTGTCATAGCCGTACTTACTCGAACTTAATGCGCAAGAAACGTTTGCAAGAACAGTTTACAGTGCTGCTATAAATGTGACGGGATCAGCCGTCAGTGATAAAGCGTAATAATTATGTTGAATCAATAATTATGGTCACTACGGCATAAAGAAAAGTACGACTTTTAGTGTGCGATATTATTTCAGTACTGTCCATGATGGGGTTATACTACCTTCTGTGTACCTTTTGAAATTTTAAAGAACATAATCAATTATATGATACTGTGGCGTTTGTACAGGGTTAGCTCAATAAAACAACGTTTGTTGCTTCACGTACACACGTGCAATACACGCCCGATCACGCCACTATTTCGTGTCGTCATGGCGGGAGCGGCGGGTCGCAGTGTGACATATATTATCTATTGTCTATGGTACATTATGTCAATACATCTCGCTATTTCAATAAAATTAATAAAAAATTAATAACATGGATGTTTTACTTTACTTTTATAATGATTACTAACTGACACAATGTACTAAACATAACCCAAGTATTTTACATTGTTCTTCATTGTTTCTGTTTCGACGTTAACACGTTGACCTGCCTGTTCATTATGAATTTGCCATAGTCCCTCTATTTCCTTTTCTCCTTCTTAATTCTTGACTTGTGTAGTCCTTTTTTCGTATGTATATTTACTTTTTTGCTTATATAATTGCGTATGACGCGCTATTGTACATCTTAAGATAACATAGAAGATCGTCCTTCCAGCGGGGCTTTTGGCAATGACTTTTTTTTAAGTTTTAATTCGTGGCGGTTTTATTTTCCCGACCTCTCCCCGTTCTGCTATGGTCAGCAGGGCATTGAAGTCATGCCAAATCCGAGCAGAGGGACTTAAATTCAAAGTAATAATGATTTACTGACTGGGTACCAATGCGGCTGTAACAGTCAATTACGAGAATTATACATATACTTAATGGGTGCTTGGCGGCAAAACTGGAAAATCAATAATTACAACAATTGCGTTGGAATTCGCGTCTTCTCACAGCCACAGGAAGGCTAGGTCCTGAAACTGAAGTTCAACTTTTACAGCTTTTAACCATTATTACTTCGCCTTTATTGTTAATCTACATACATATATACTTTGATACCCAGTTTAATATACAGTCTGTCCTCACTCTTGTTAAGTATAGACATGGATGAGACTAGCGTTGATAGTTCATCAGTTTTTTATTTAGTAGTAATTTGTCTTTCACTGCTTTTAGTACAACTTGGAGTGAGATGCACGACTGAAAGTAGCCAACTCGTTTTCTATCTAAATTGATAACGCACACAATCACAGCCCCGCACCAAGGAAACCTTGTATGGCGGGCGCCATGCACACACACCTAGACAACCACAAATCACACCAAAGCTTACGAGGCAAACAAATGCAGACCATATAAATATCTCACCCGGCCCGAGAATCGAACCCGGGACCTTCTCGTACCTGACCAGCACGGTAACCGTTTGGCCATGGAGGTAATTAATCTAATGACATCGCAATATAATGCGATCGTGTTGCAGCCACTTGAATGATCAGTTATTATTGCATATACTGGTTGTTATACATAATTGCGAAATAACTTTGTTATTTCTATAATGGCCAAATATATGTAAAATTTTTTTCGGTATCTAAACATACCTTGCTAGGGTACAATAACCTAATAAACAGAACTATTATCATCGATTGTCCACGACAAAAGATATTCGCCTAACATGTAATACAAACTCACATTTATATACACATTACATTAATAATATGCATTCATGTTATTGATCAATCATTGAATGAATAAATAATTAATTATTTATAGATAGGTAGGAAGTGCAGGTTACTCGGGGTAAACGTATTTATTTAGACTAACCCGGTTGTTCTACTTAGAGGCACTAGAATAGAAATTCCACTAGACCACCTTATCACTTAAATAATATCTGTACCTATTTTTTGAGATACTTAAGAGCATTGTTTTCTATTTGGATTAATAAATCCAACACAAGAAGTACAACTTTACTTTTTTTGCAATATAAAATATCCACTAATCGCTTTATTTATTGAATCAAGGTGTAAATTAAATTATACAATATGTCAATAATTGCCACTTAAGCTATCATGGATACCTATGTAATTATAAAGTAACTACTCGATCTTATTTAGGTTTATTATTACAACACCAATATGAAATGATTATGTGAATTAAAACACTTGAAGGTATCATCATGTGGGTTGTATGACTTGATCAACCAGTATTCATGAACACGACTAACTTTAATACGGGCTTTGGGCTAAGACATCTTTGTGCTATTTTGCATTAATTGAAGTTGGCTCGCCCTCACAGCCTAAAGACTCCAACGGAATTATTTGCGACATTTTGTTGGGGTTACATGTAATGGAAGTAATTCCCCTTGTAGGTACCGTTCAGATTTCTTTAAACTATTTCATGACAATATTGATTGTCGTTGGGGCTACTCGCAATCAAATTGATTCAACTACCGTACCGGTAACGGTAGGTACCGTTTAGATTTCTCTAAACTACCTCTTGACAATATATATATTGTCGTTGGGGCTACTTGTAATGAAATCAATTCCCCTTGTAGGTACAGTTCAGATTTCTCTAAACTGCCTCTTGACAGTATATTTGTGATACCGTTTAACATTTAGTCAAACTATCAATTATAAGGTTTGTTTGTTTTTTTTATTATTATTTTTCCCAGTTACCGTTTGGTAAACCAAACTACCTCTCTTGTGTTGTGCTACCTCAAGAATTGTTGGACCTCAACATTTGTTAGACAACAGTAGCCTTTTTTGTTTATTTATTTTAATATACATGTATTATTATGTAAAATTATAATGTATGGTTTCATACATTATTCGGGATAACCCTGCACACGTGGCGATCTACTTTAGCTACGTGCCACACTTTTATTTAAACATATAATTTGCACTCTATCTAGACGTAGTACGTTACCAACTGTTCACCGATACACTACATCAAGGGAAGATTTGCCACCATAACACCTTTATTTTATGCTAATATACTTTTACCATTATCTTTTCAAGTCTTTCTCTGCGTACTACCACTACAATCCATGTATAGAGTAAGGTGGCGCATACATTACTCCATACATATAGTGTAATTAATGAAAAACTTACAATTATTGCAATTGCCTTAACTGCCGAATACCAAAAATTATAACGCTATTCATCTACAATCGCTTACTGCGATAAACTGTCAACAACAACTAGCTAGGTAATAATTATTGGTAGTTTTCATTTACCTATTGGTAATCTCAGGTGTGTCATTTCTATTTGTCGATAAGAACAATTGATGTGTAGTATTGATTGTATTTAACTCATGCCTGTGCCTATGCCCGAATCTCATGGTATGTCACATGCCTGTCTGTATTGATCATACGGCGGACAGCATCGATGTTTTGTTGTTCACAGCAGTGGACCGGCGACCATCACGAGATTCGTCACTGAGATTCACATGACCGCGTTTGAATTCTGCAAACCAGCTTTAAATAGTCGTCTTGCATGGTGCTTCGTCGCCAAATGCAGTTTGAAGCCGAGCGAAGCTCTGCTGAGCTGTTTAATAACTCTTAAAGTAGTAGAAAATTATACTACGAAAATTTTCACGAGTTAAATCCATGGTGATGTAGACAACCAATTTCTAAAATGACGCCACAATATAAAAACAAGTGATAGTCAATAAACAAACTGTATTCTACAGCCAAAGAATTCCATTCTCAAATGTTGTAATTACTTTTTAAATATTGTTTATGTAAGTGGCCAGTTCCGGAAACTTATAGTGCGCCCTATATATATATGTTATCTAAATAGACTTAAATCACTTGAAATCATAATACATACTTCCAATATATTACGTTTATATGCTTTAATGAAATGGATTCTAATCATTTGAAATCCTGGTATATATCTCCATTTCTATTTTCTTTTGAAACAAAGCTGAGAACGGGACTACACGGTGATATATTATCAATTTTACTCACGTTCTTTGGCAGGGTCGCCATTGTGGCGTTTGTACAGGGTTAGCTCAATAAAACAACGTTTGTTGCTTCACGTACACGTGCGATATACGCCCGCTCACGCCACTGTCTCGTGTCGTCATGGCGGGAACGGCGGGCCGCAGTATGACATATATTGTCTATGGTACATTATGTCAATACACTACAGATACTATATCAGTCAATCCAGGTCCTAAGTAGAAATAGTGAGGCTACGACAAAAAACTTTTAAAAATTGTATATGTACTCTTATAAGTAACATAGTTGCATTTTTCTTACAATGGAAACGAATTAGGATGAATAATAGCGTGCAAAATCCCGGCTAACCTCGAATAGCTAAATATATGCGTAGAAGATCTCCAATGCTATGGACAAATCAAACAAAACATTAAGTAGTTTTCCAAGTGCATGATGCTAAGAAGTACAGAGAAATGGGAGAGAGAGTATACGGCACGATAAAATCGGCGAAAACCTGAAAAGAGTGGACGCAACGTAATGCGCTTAGGGACGCGAAATAGAAAAGTAAATCTATTAATCAATATCGACATATAATTAAAACGGATTGGGAAAACAAAGAACCTCATATCAATCCTTATCGCAAATCTTCGAAATCATAAGTCGGATAAATATCATTAATTTTGAGTTCATTGTTTTTCCCGATTGTGACGTTCGTACACACGAAATCGCGTGTATTTGTTTTTTAAAAACAAATCAATGTATCAGGCCCTTCTGTGATCAGTCACTTATGATGTCAGTCAACCGTAACGACAAGACCTGTGGAGGTCGCGAAACTGAGATTTGTTAGATCCGAAAAATAGTTTCATTTCCAATTTATTCATTTTGTAATATTGAAATATTTTGTCTGAAAGGCAGACAATATTAAATGTTATTGTTAAAAACAGGATTAACAGGTATTCATTTAAAGAAATTGTCTTTGTTGGATATATCATGCGTTACATTTACAGCATATTTTTCTCAATAATGAACTGAAAAATGACTTACTTTTTCAAACCTTTCTTTGCTAGGTATGGAGTCTAAGAAAATATTAAAACATTGACTATATCCTCTTAGATAAGAACTATTTCTACTTCATATTAGGATGTATATTATATACCTGCTGATATTGGTATATTATAAGCACTTACCTCGTTTATGAATAACCGTATTCCATATATCGTAGCTTGTACTAAGAATGGCCAGTAAACCAATGAAACTGAAGACAACACTGAAAAATAACGTCTGTTATTAATAGCTGCGTAATTGCATATACATTCTTCCTTCTTACCGATTTTTAATCTATTCTTAATAGTAGATAAAAACCTTCTATGACAACAAATGGTGTTGCTAAAGGAGTTGCTTTATTTATTAATAAACTTCAACATAACATCAAAAATATTGGTAAAATCTCACGTTTGTGTTTAAAACATTGAATAATACAACACAATTACAGTTGAAATACAGATGAAAACAAAACGGAAAGTACTTACATAGCCACATACAGCCCTGGTGCCCAGGGTTTGTCATTTTTGAATCGGCAAAATTGTTCCTCAAAATCGATCAACTGAGTACCAATGAGATTCGGCAATGCCTGTCTTATGGAGCATGGTTTTGGTATACAAATAGATACAGTAAAGCGTAAAGCACCCATATTATTTGAACCAGATCTGAAAAGTAGAAATACTTAGTAAATGATAACCAGGGATCGGAATAGGTAGAGTTTTTTCGACGAACGTAGACAAAAAATGGAGACTGCCTTAAGACAATATTTTTTTAGCTTCAGATTTTATGAGATTCGGGAAATTACTTAAGAATATTAAAAATTGACGTAATTGGGGACAGGTAGGTACACTATATTTATCTTAACTTTGCTACGCATAGTGGATCGGATCTGCGATATTGCGAACTATGGTTTTTTTTCACGATACCTCTTTAAAAAAATGCCAATGGAGAGATCTTATTGTCCTAATTAATTATTGTCATATAATATTTTGCCATAAATGTAATAGTTTAGTTGGAAAAAAATAAAATATGTATTTTTTGTCTGGGACCATACCTTTAGTGCCCCATCGTTATAAAGTCT